ACATATGTTAGACTTTGAGTGGTGAACACACAAGTACAATATACAAATGTTATATTTTAGAATTGTATACCTGAAACCTATATAATTTTTCTTAGTCAATGTCATCCCAATAAATTCAATAAAAAACAAAACATTTAGGTTTTATTGTACCCTCCAATCTCAATTTCCCATCTTTTTTTAAAAAATATTTTCTTTATTTATTTTTCAAGAGAGGGGAAGGGAAGGAGAAAGAGTGGGAGAGAAACATCAATGTGTGGTTGCCTCTCATGCGTCCCCTGCCGGGAACTGGCCTGCAACCCAGGCATGTGCCCTGACTGGGAATCGAACCGCGATACTCTGGTTCGCAGGCCCGCGCTCAATCCACTGAGCTACGCCAGCCAGGGCTCAATTTCCCATCTTTTTGACTACCTGCTCAGCCTTATGAATAGTTTGTTCTGAACATAATTTTATTTGTTTAATTCTCAAACTGTATTTAATTTGCTGTTAAAGTCATCCATTGAGTTTCTAATTTCAGCTAAGTTATTTTTTAGTTTAAGAATTTCCATTTGTTTTATTCATCTTTTTTTGGTTTCTAATTCCCTGTTGAATTTTCAAGATTGGATTTTATTTATCTGAATATGCCAAGCATTGTGATTTAATAGTCTGTTTCTGATAATTCAAAGCTAATGAATCTGTTTGTGTTACCTGTTATCTATATTACTTCTTACTTAATGATGTATTTTTCTTTGTGTTTCTGGTGATTTATTCTTTAAGTATATTTTATTGATTATGTTATTACAATTGTACCCATTTCCACCTTTGCCCCCCTCTGCCTGGTACCCTCCTTCCCTCCAGCAATCCCCACCCTTTGTTGTTAGCTCATGTCCATGGGTTGTGCAAATAGGTAAGTTCTTTGGCTTCTCCATTTCCTATACTATTCTTAACATCCCCCTGTCTATTTTGTACCTACCAATAATGCTTTTTAATCCCTGCACCTTTCCCATTATTCTTTCCCTGCTGATAATCCTCCAAATGACCACCATACCTATAATTCTGTTCCTGTTCTGGTTGTTTGCTTAGTTTGTTTGTTTGTTTTCAGGTTCACTTTTTGATAGTTGTGAATTTGTTGCTTTTTTAATGTTCATAGTTTTGATTTTCTTTTCCTTAAATACGTCCCTTTAACATTTCATGTAATAATGGCTTAGTGATGATGAAATCTTCTAGCTTTACCTTGCCTGGGAGCACTTTATCTGCCCTTCCATTCTATATGATAGCTTTGCCAGATAGAGTAATGTAGGTTGTAGGTCCTTACTCTTCATCACTTTGAATACTTCTTGCCAGTTCCTTTTAGAATGCAAAGTTTCTTTTGAGAAATTAGCTGATAGTCTTATGGGTACTCCTTTGTAGTTCACTATCTGCTTTTCTCTTGTTGCTTTTAAGATTCTCTCTTTATATTTAACATTTGGCTTTTTAAATATGATGTGTCTTGGTGTGATCCTCTTTGGGTCCAGCGTGGTTGGGACTGTGCTTTTTGGACTTGTATGTCTATTTTATTCACCAAATTAGAGACGTTTTCTTCCATTATTTTTTCAATCTTTCTCTGTCTCTTCTGGCATCCCTATGTTTTGGTTGTTGGCACTTTTGGAGATATCCCAGAGTCTTCTTATACTATCCTCATTTTTTGAATTCTTGTTTCTTCTTTCTGTTCTGGTTGAATGTTTGTTTCTTCCTTACGTTCAAAGTCATTGATTTGAATCCTGACTTCCTCCCTTTCACTGTTGGTTCCCTGTAGATTTTTCTTAATTTCGCTGAGTATAATCTTCATTTCTTCTTTTATGTTGTTGCTGTTCTTGATGAGTTTTTGAGCATCTTGATCACCAGTGGTTTGAACTCTCCATCTGATAGGTTGACTGTCTCCATTTTTTTTCTGTTCTTTCATTTGGGCCATATTTCTTAGTCTCCTCAATTTGGTAGCTTCCTTGTGTTTGTTTCTGTGTATTAGGAAGAGCTACTTTAACTCCCTATGAAAGTCACCTGTAAATTGTATGGGGCGGAGCCTTAGGTAATCCCCAGGCTGGGGCAACCCGCTTCACTGCTTTGTGCCTCTGTGTGAGGGGAGGGCTCAAACAGGGGACTGTGCCACTGCCTGGCTTCTCCCCATTTTCAGTCACTTCACCCACTTCTCATATGTGCCTGGCACCCTTCCGGCTGTTGTCCTGGTATTGAATCCCACAGTGGGTGGGTTTGCATATGTTTTAAGACTGTGAAGGCCCTTTAAGTGAAGTTTCCTGAAAATCCAGCAGTTTTTTCTGCCACCCCAACCCCCACTCGTTTTTACAGTGAGAATTCATGGGGATTTATCTTCCCAGCTCTGGAACCCTGGGCTGTGTGGTCTGGCCTGGGGCTCAGATCACCTGTTCCCAAGGTATCTCTCCTGAATTTTATCTACCACACATCAATATAGGACTTCCCATGCTCATTCCTCTGCCACCACTGCTGCCTCTACACATCACACTGTCTCCTTGCCTCTCCACATCTCTGCCCTTCTTACCCTGTCTGGATGATTGTGGCTTCTTTAAATCTTTGGGAATCTTGCATGATACCACTACACCAGCGGCGCCTGTTTCTTTAAATCTTTGGTTGTCAGACTTCTATACAGTTTGATTTTCTGACAGTTCTGGGTGTTAATTTGTTTTTGAGATTTAGTTGTAATTCTTTTTGTTGTTGCACAAAGAGGCAAAGCGTGTCTACTTACACCTCTATCTCGATCACATGTCCTGGTTATTTACTTTTTTAAAAAGATTTTTATTTTTAAAGAGAGGGGTAGGAAGGGAGACAGAGAGGGACAGAAACATTGATGTGAGAAACATCAATCAGTTGCCGGTAGGAGGTGCCATGACTCAGGACTGAACCTGTAACCTAGGCATGTGCCCTGACCAGCAATCAAACTGGCAACCTTTTGCCTTGCAGGATAACGCTCACCAACAGAGCCATACTGGTCAAGGCTATTTCTGGTTAATTTTGTATGTTGACACTGTACATGAACAATTGTTTATTGAAAGAATTTTTGGACTAGGATAATGGAATCTTTTTAAAAGATTTTATTTATATATCTTTAGAGGTGAAGGGAAGAGAAGGAGAGAGGAAGAGAAACATCAATGTATGGCTGCCTCTCATATGTCCCCTGCTGGGAACTGGCCCGCAACCCAGGTCTGTTTCCTGACTGGGAATCGAACTGCAGTTGTTTAGTTCATAGGCTCGCGCTCAATTCACTGAGCTACACCAGCCAGGGCAGGATAATGGAATCTTATTCCAGAGGAGATTTTGTTTTCCAGGCCTTTAAGGATGCTTCCTCTCTGGAACTACCATAATCTATGTTGAAAGCCCACCTAAATGTTACAAAGCCAAGCTCAAAGACTGTAGGGCTAGTTTATTTTCAGGTTATAATTACCCTTAAAGTGAAACATTGAGGTTAATAGCATCATATGGGTGATGGTTTGTTAGGAAATCCCTCCCCTTTCAATGAGCCTTGGGTATTGATTTTTGTTACTCTAGTGCCTTGAGTCAGCTTTTGATTCAACTCAGTTTGGCACTGGTTTATTCCTTAACCTTTATTCTTTAATAGATGTCCTCAAGACAAAGTTAACCATATGAGTACTAAAGAAATTGGTAAATTACTCTTCAACCTCATATAGAAAAAAAGAGTTCTTAATAATGAATCAAAAGCTAGATGCCATAAAAAGTATGATAAATTTTATTACTTTTTTAAAAGAATGGCAAAAATACACCATGAAGTAAAAAAGCAACTAACAAAGTGGAAGTAGATATTTGCAGCACATGTAATAGATAAGGGTCTAATACAGTTAACGTACAAAGACTTGAAAACGAAGGGATAAAGACGAACAATCCAATAGAAATGTGAAAAAACACTGAAAGATATTTACAATGGTGTTAAAATGATCATTAAACAGAGAAATGCAAAATAAATGCCATTGAGAAGCTTCTCTCATAATAATGGAAATTTAAAAGTATGTCACACTTTATGTTAGAAGATGTGTTTGAAAACATACACTTCTATATTGCTGGTGCGAAGGCATAAAAATGGATCTTAACCTCAGGAGAGGCAATAGCCTGGAGATGTAACTTGGAAATCACCTGTGCCTAGAGGGAAATGAACAGAAATCACCCAGAAGAGAGTATGTATGGACTGAGTAGATAGGAGGCCCAGGATTTCAATACTCAAGGTGGCAGCACAGCTTCCTGGCAGGTACCACCACTGGACTCAGTCAAGCGGAGCTGGCCTTAAAAGCTGGCTGTGGGGCTCAGTTCCTGAGCACTTAGGGAAATCAGGTACCTTTCCTGTGATCAGCTGTTAGAACTGGCTATAATGGGCATCTCACAGAGATGCTGGACAGAAACCTGAGATGCACAAGATAAATAAAGCACCGGTGGTCAGCAGCCTCATGCTGTGTCGGTGACTTTCCCATTGCCATCACCACCACCCCCACTCCAACCCCTGTTGAGATAGGTCCCTTGGGATGGGAGGGCAAGCTGGGGTGATGGAATGCTCACATGACCTACTGGGTGCCCACCCCCACCATCAGGTCCCAGCACCATCAGCTCCCATTGTCCATGCAGTATTAGCTCCCTGAGCTGTGGGGGGCAGAGGACAAGGGACAAACGGGCTTCCATCAGCTGGAGAAAGTGTAGGCCTGGCCTGGTACCTGCAGGTCATTGTGGAGGTGGGTGTAGCCTGTGGCCTGGGCAGGGGGTCAGAGTGTTCAAGATAGACCCAGGAACAGGGGCAAGGCAAAGGAATTCCAGAGGTGGGGTAGGTGGGGGACAGTGATGACCAGGCAGGTGATTTAAGGAAGGACCCTATCATAGGCCCCACTACCTCCTCAATGCCCCACTTCTGCTACCCTCCATATTTTTTTAAATCCTCATCCAGGACATGCTTACTGATTTGAGAGAGATGGGGAGGGAGGGAGGGAGGGAGGGAGAGAGAAGCATACATGAGACAGAAGCTTCCATCTGTTGCCCCTGTGTGAGCCCCAACCAGTAGACAACCTGCAACCTAGGCACATGCCCTACCTTTCGGTTTACCCAAGGATGCTCCAGCCAAATGAACCACACTGGCTAGGGCTAGGGCTCTCCATCAGCTTTTGAGCCAGTGGGTGACAGTGAAACATAGGTATATTCTGGACATAACTCCCTTCACACTTCACCTATGGGGAAATACCTTCAGGAAAAAAATGAGTTTGGGTTTGGTTGCCTGTAGGGGTGGTGGACACAGGGGCTCAAATAGTTTGGAAAGCATCCTGCTCTGGTGCTACAGGCCTGAACACTGATATGTGGATGTGGTGTGGGGCAGGTAGGAGAGGGTAACGGATGTGGAGAGCCCAGGTTCAGGAAAGGGACATCAGTTTACTTAGCACGCAGCCACTGCCCCTATCTCCTGACTGTCTGCAGGTCTGCGAGTCTGACCCCAGTGCTCTACAAGGCTAGAAAAGGAAGAACCTGTCCAGAATCCCTGCAGGTCAGTGAAAATGGAAAGGCACACTGGACATGGACTGGGGGTAATGGTGGAGGACACAGGTTGGGAAGAATTTTAAGGCTCCACTGCCCATCACACCTCCACATATAATATACACACACCCTGCCACACTGAAGGTTGGTACAGATGACAAGGCCTGCCAAAGAAATGGTTGGCTCATGGGTGAGGGAGGAACAGTGGAGAAAAGTGTAGCAGAAGGCAGGGTCAGGGGAACCCTGTCCATTAGCTAGATTCCAGTACAATCTGAGCCTGCACTTCACCCCCAGCCCTCAGTCTCCCTTGTCTCCTCTTTCTCTCCTCTCCCCAACCCAACTCTGCCCCACTCCCCAGAACAGGCAAAAGAGGAGACATCTCAATGTGGAAAAAACTTGACAGTGAAAATAAAGGAAAACTGGAAAATGAGGGAAATCCAGAAGATGAAGTAGATACAGAAGATGAAGGAAACTCAAATGAGGGAAAAAAGCCAGGAGAAGCCAAGGCACAAAGGGAAGCGCCAGGAAGAAGGATAGCCAGATGACAAGATTAAATAAGAAAAGCAGGGCAAATCTGAAAGTGAGGGGAACCCACATGGTGAGGCCAAGCCAGAACTCCAGGCCAAGCTAGAGATCCAGCTATGGGCTGTTGAAAAGTGTCTGGCCAAAGATTATGTGCCCCAGAAAGCAAAGCAAGAAAACAGGGGAACGAATGATTCTCCCAAAGACTATTAGGAGGACTTACAAGAAAGGCACTTGGTAGTGAGGAGATGATGACAGAATGTGGAGATGTGTCAAGGGCTCAGGAAGAGCCAAGGAAAAAACAGAACCACTCATTGAGTGTTTTTCATTGGATGCAAAGAAATGTACAGGATCCATTTGTGCCAAGGGGCTTACAAGGTATCAGGGGAGTGAGGGGCAGAGGCAGGGGCCAAAGGGGCTTACATGATATCCTATATCTTTAATGCCCTTGGACATAAACTCTGATTTCTTTGATGGGACTATTTCACCCCTGCTTTCCTGGTGGTCCTTTGCCATGTGATGTGCTCTAACCTTAAGCTGATACTTTGCTTTAGGTGTCGCCCTTGATACCAGCAGCCTTTTGATCCAAAAGGATCAAAGTTTCAGTGCTCTCAGTTTCAGTAGGGGATTTTAACCCATGTGTATGGAAGAGGTGTTCATGGTACTTTGTAAAACAATAAAGAAAAAACTTTTCAGAACCATATATAGTGTTGGCTCATTTTTGTGAAACTATAATTGGGTGCTTAATGCGTTTGTGCACAGAGAAAACTCTGAAAGTGTGTACACTAAAAAGCAGGCAATAGTTTTTCCTGCATGGTAGCCAAAAAGAGGTCTTGCCTGTACTCAAAAATGAGTCCACCTGATGGTTAGGTACCTCCATGCCATTCCTCTGCAGGCATGTCCAACCCCTTGTCACCTCCTAGTTGTAACCATGTCAGGGGCACTGATGTCCCCTCTCCTGGGTCCTTCATTGTCCTACAGCTTCATCTGTGATCCCTTTGCTTTGATCACTAATCTCTTTTTCCTAAAGGATATGGATTCTGTTTCTCATCATAAAAAAAAATCCAAAAATCAATACATAATAAACAATTGAAATGTTCAATGAACTTATGAGGGCAATGAAAATACTTAAAATTCTTGTCAGAATGCAAAATGAGAAGTAGAACACATTATCTATAGGGCTTATAGCTACAGGAATCAACCTGGTGGTTATAACATCCAATACTGTAAGGGTCAGCCTTGTAGTCTGTGAAATGGGAATAAAATGTCTCACAGACTTTTGAGTGGATCAGATGAAGAACTGAGTTTGTGAGCTATGTTGGGCTGGCTCCTTTGCAGTAGTTGGACCCTGGACCCTGGCAGACACTAAAAGGAGAGCTGAAGGTAGATCTAACCTGTGACCAGGAATAAGTCCAAGTACCTGAGAAGAGGTACCACCCTTCCCTGGATACTACCAAATCCACTGTGCACTCCTGTTCTGCTGCACCCTGTACCCTCTGCTGACAGCTATTGATATGATGGATTTCTAATGGTGATAAAGGTCTTCTGATTCCCTATAGTATTCAAAGTTCCAAAGTCCCTATTTCACTCCTACAGGAGGATGGATAAAGCCTGCCTCCCACCTTCAGAGTTGCACCCATCCAGGTGGTAATGCCCCAGGGCTGCTAGGGACCCACTGTATTATATAGTCATTAATATTTTTAGTTAATTTTATACTTGCTCATATTTTCCCTTCATAAGACTCAGATATTTGGGGGCCCCTGGGCGCTGTATCCTGAGATTAATCTATGGACCAAGCAATGGATGGTAATTTGAACAAACTCTGCAGTACCCCAGGGAAACCATATCTAAATTTACATACCTTTCTTAGTGTATTTACTCTCTAAAAATTCTGCCTGGAATAAATCAAATATTTTTTAAAAGCCCTGGCTGGTGTAGCTCAGTGGATTGAGCACAGACAGGCCTGTAAAGCAAAGGGTTGCCAGTTTGATTCCCAGTCAGGGCACATGCCTGGGTTGCTGGCCAGGTCCCCAGTAGGGGACACATGGGAGGCGACCATACATTGATGTTTCTCTCCCACTCTTTCTCCTTCCCTTCCCCTCCTTCTAAAAATAAATAAATAAAATATTTTTAAAAATTCTGGCTGGCTTGCTCAGTAATATTTACTCCCCTGCCAACAGCGAATGCCAATGTTGAGCCCCTAACATGGCACCATTTCTAGGGGTTACCCAGCCATCCACTTGGAAAAGGTTGATTACATTGGTCCTCTTCCACCACAGAGAGACTATATTGTCTTCAAATGGAAATAATTACACCAATTAAGAGAGCAGCTTTATTGAGATACAATTCAGTTTCCAAAAAATATGGGCCTTTAAAGTGTACAATTCTGTTGTATCTAGTATATTCACAGAGTTGTACAACCATTAACACCATGTAATTTTAGAATATCCTCATTATGCCTCAAAGAAACATTTCTTATTCCTATCACCACCCTAACCCCACCCAGTTACTGGCAACCACTAATCTACCTTTTGTCTCTATGGATTTGGCTATTGTGGACATTTCATATAAATGGAGTCATACAATAAGTGACCTTTTGTGACTAGCTTCTTTCCCTCAACAAAATGTTTTGAAGTTTCACCCATGCTGTACCATGTATCAGTCCTGCATTCCTTTTTGCTGCCTAGTAACTTTCCATTAAATGTTATACATTTATTTATCCATTCATCAGTTGATGAACATTTGGGTTGTTTTCATTTTTGGCTATTATGAATAATACTGCTACAGACATGTTTGTAAAAGGCTATTGTTTTAACACATGTTTCAATTATTTGGAGTATATATACCTATAAGTAGAATTGATAGGTCACATAGTAATTCTGTGTTTAACATTTTCAGGAATTGCTAAATGTTTTTATAAAGGACTGAACCATTTCACATTCCCACCAACAATGTATAAGGTTCCAATTTCCTCTTATTCTCACCAGGACTTGTTCTTGTCTGTCTTTTTATTTTGTATTTATTTATTTTTAATTACTTTATTGTTGTTCAATTACAATTTTCTGCATTCTCTCCCCACCACTCCCCCCACCCCAGCCAAACCCACATCCCTCCCTTGCTTCCATAATAAGTAATGATATTGAATATATTTTCATGAGTATAGTGACCATTTGTGTATCTTCTTTAATGATAAGTATCTATTCAAAATATTTACCCAGCCCTGGCCAGGTATCTCAGTTGGTTGGAGAATTGTCCCAATGTGCCAAGGTTGTGGGTTTGATCTGCAGTCAGGACTTATATATAGGAATCAACAAATGGATTCATAGGTAGATGGGACAACAAATTGATGTTTCTCTCTCTCTCTCTCTCTTCCTCCCTCCCTCTCTAAAATAAATAGATAAATACATTTTAAGCAAACAAAACCTAGATATTTGCACATTTTAGAATTACCATTAGGTTATTGGATTTTTTATTGTTGACTCATAAGAGACCATTATATATTCTGAATACAAGCCCTTATCATATATATGATTTGCAAATATTTTCTCCCATTCTGTGGATTTTTTTAATTTCCTGAATGGTATCCTTTGAATCAATTTTTTTTCACTTTGATTAAGTTCAGTTCATCTGTTTTACCTTTCATTGACTATGCTTTTGGTGTCATCTCTAAGAAACCATTCCCTAACATATGGTAACAAATATTTACTCCTATGTTTATTTCTATGAGTTTTATATGCTTGGCTCTTACACTCAGAAGTATGATTCACTTTGAGTTTTTACATCATTTGAATATGGGCCCAAATTAATTCTTTTGCATATAGATATCCAGTTGATCTAGCACCATTTCTTGAAAAACTATTCTTTTCCCATCAACTTGTCATGGCACATTTGTTGAAAATGCATGGACCATAAATGTGTGGGTTTAGTACTAGACTCTCCATTATGTTTTATTGATCTATATGTCTAAGCCTTATGCCAGTACCACATTGTCTTAATTACTGTAGCTTTGTAATAAATTTGGAAATAGAGAACTTTGAGGCCTCCAACTTTCTACTTTTTTTAAAGTTTTTTTTAAAGATTTTATTTATTTATCTTTAGAGGGGAAGGATAGAGGGAGATAAACATCAATGTATGGTTGCTTCTAGTGCTTCCCCTGCTGGGAAATAGCCTGCAGGGAACTGGCCTGCAACCCAGGAATGTGCACTGACTTGGAATCAAACCTCGATCCTCTGGTACGCAGGCCTGCGCTCAAGCCACTGAGCTACACCAGCCAGAGCTTCTACTTTATTCAAGATCATTTTGGCTATTCTGGGTCACTTTGGATGTTCATAGAATTTTGGTATCAGCTTGTGAAGTTCTGAAAAGATGTCAGCTGGAGTTTTGATAGGGATTGCAATGAATCTGCAGGTTGGTTTGGGAAGAATTGCCAATTAAACAATATTAAGTATTCCAATCCATAAACACAGCATGCCTTTGCATTTATTTCTGTCTTTATAAATTACGTTAAACAATGCTTTTTTTTTCAGTGTACAAATCTTGCGCTTCTTTAGTTACACTTATTCTCATGTTCTATCTTTTTTAATGCTATTGAACATTGAATCACTTTCTTAATTTTTGTTTTCACATACTCCATTGATAGTGTATGGAAATGTAACTCACTCTGTACATTGATATTGCATTCTGTAACCTTTTAAAATAAATTTATTCATTTTTTTCCTCCCTCCCATTTCCATGCCCCTTAGTTGTTCTCCATTTGTCCTTTATACTAGTTCCTGTAAATCCTTCACCTTTGTCCCCTGAAATTCCTTCTCTTCCCTCTGGTCACTGTCCCCCTGTTCAGTGTCTTTGTTTTCATTTTGCTTGCTTGTTTGTTTTGTTGCTAGCTTCGTGTTAAAGGTGAGATCATGGTATTTGTCTTTCAACACCTGGCTTATTTCACTTAGTATAATGCTTTCCAGTTCCATCCATGCCGTTGCAAAGGGTAGGAGCTCCTTCTTTCTTCTTTTTCTTTTTTTAATTTTATTTAGTTATTTTTCAAGTACAGTTTTGTATTTCTCCCATCCAAGCCCAACCCACCCAGTGCTCCCCACCTCCCTCCCATTTCCACCCCCCTTAGTTCTCGTCCCTGTGTATTTCATACTTGTTCCACCAAACCCCTGCCCTTTTTTCCCAATTAAATTCCCTTCCCTCTCCCCTCTGGTCTTTCTGCTGCATAGAATTCCATTCTGTACGTGTACCATAATTTTTTGATCCATTCATTTACTGTCAAGCACCTAGGTTGCTTCCAGCTCTTGGCTATTGTAAATTGTGCTGCTATGAACATTGGGGTGCATAGGTTCTCTTGGATTGGTGTCTCAGGGTTCTTAGGATATAATCCCAGCAGTGGAATTGCTAGGTCAAAAGGCAGGTCCATTTTTAGTTTTCTGAGAAAATTCCATACTGTTTTCCATAATGGTTGTACCAGTCTGCAGTCCCACCAACAGTGAACTAGGGTTCCCTCTTCTCCACACCCTCTCCAACACTTGTTGTTTGTTGCTTTGTTTATGATGGCCATTCTGACTGGTGTAAAGTGGTATCTCATTGTGGTTTTAATTTGCATCTCTCTGATAGCTAGTGATATTGAGCATCTTTTCATGTGTCTCTGGATCTTCTGTATGTCCTCCTTGGAGAAGTGTCTGTTCAAGTCCTTTGCCCACTTTTTAATTGGGTTGCTTCTCTTCTTAGAGTAGAGTACTGTAAGTTCTTTGTATATCTTGGAGATTAAACCCGTTTGAGTTATCATTGGCAAAAATGTTTTCCCATACAGTTGGTTGTCTTCTTATTTTAATACT